AATTATTACCTTATCAAATGAGTGGGTAATGCCTTGAGTGAAGATTTCATACATGAAATCCTCATATAATAACCACACTCTACACTTCTCAGTTATTGAGCACACTATTAAAAAAATTAAAATCAATTCAATTCATCAAATCAATATTATAATATTTATTCTAATTTGAAAAAGAATTTAAAATACTTACTTGTATACGCACCCACTTGATTTCATTTTTTTTCTTGTCAACTATATCCCCTATCCTCCAATAACAATGTAAAGATCTATTTTTCAAATATAAACATATAGAATATATTAAAAAGATGCTAATAATACCACAAAATAATTATTTAAAAAACTTATGATTCAAATAATGACTTCATATTGTCGCTTACTTCTTATTGTATTGAACAAAATCAATATATAGTATTTTCATGGAGATAGATAATAGGAAGTATCCAATGATTGCTACAAAATATTAGTTTATATTAATATCACATAATTATGTAAATATTTTATAAATAGAGAGATGAATAGGATGTTTGATACCTTTCAATAATTGGTGCAAAAAAAAAAACACCTTTTCTTTAGCTTATTCATCACACTTCCAATATAAGATACTTTTTAATTCAATTTCCCAACTGATGTTAAGAGTAGGGATAAGAATCCATAATAATGATTGACATTAAGTTGGATGCACATTTTGTGGAGCAACCTTTAATAATAACAAAAATATTAACAATAAATAAAAATAATAAATATTAAATTAGAAATAAAAATAAACATTACATGATAAAAACTTGTATTATTGATACGTCCAACCACTCCATAATAATAAGAGCATTAATATCATTTCTGGCAACTTGAAAAGTAATATCCTTTCCAACAATGTCCTTACTTACTTGTATTTCATCAGTAAATTCATTCATGTCAACAATCATGGAAGCTAATTGTTTCAAGTCATCTCGAATCAGTTGGGGATTGGAACCCAGTGATTCTTTTGATTGTTGAAGTTCCTAATTAATATATAATCAAAATTAGAAATATCTATCATATTAATTAAGAAATATTGAAAATTATAAAGTTTTCATACCTCTTCAGTAACTTGTTGAACAAGCCTTCTCAACCAAATAATAAAAGTCTGTTGAGCTTGTCCTACTATTTGAACCTGCTTAGTAGGAAATAACACAGGAGCATTAACATCTAACCACTTCAAAGATTATCTTTACTTGATTATCTTGTAATTGTTGGTGGTGGACTATAGTTGAATAGTTATACAATTTTTCATATGCAACTATACATTTTACAAGATCTTCCAAATAAATTATGTGTGGCAATCCTTGATATGAAAAGCTAAGATCATACTCTAGCTATGGAACACCACTAAATTTTTATGCTTGTTGAGATTACATATGCATAGAATTGATTATTGATTGCATTTCCATCATCAAACTTGATTTGTATTCCACTATCATCTTTTTCACTTAGTATATTGGCACACTATTAGAGAGTGGTGATCTAAAATATTGTATTATACCCATACCTTTTGAAACTTCCCTAACACGGATGGGATGCTCTTCACTCCCCAAGGCTGTGGTCAATATATCCTTCCTGCCAATAGATGTAAAGGTCCCCTAAGAGGCTGCTTCTGTAAGAGAATCCTAGAACATGCAAGCAAGCAATGCAATTAGTAAAACACACAAAAACATACCAAATACAAAATTTGGCCACTCAATGGCCATTTCACTAAATATGGCTAAAACACACAATCAACAAGACATGCACTATTTGGCTTCTATTGCCATATAATACATTGCAATTACATTATCACCATATAGATAAAACACTCCTTGAACTTGTATTGGTATTTTTGCCCATCACCACAAAAATTCCTACATATTCACATTTTATACCATATTAGGCTAAAATACAAAACAACATAGTATGAAACAAGTGCAACCAATCAAAATGATATGCATTCCTAGTTGGCAACATATAATATCATTCATATAAGTTTATGTACATGACTCAAAATGAAATCAAGCTTTACAATGAGAATGTAGCAAGTATGATAGCCCTTGCTCGATTCCCTCCCTGGCTCAGTCTCACTGGTAGAACCTGTAAAATGATAATCCATGGGGTGAGATAAAAATCTCAGTAACTAAGATAATCTACATTATTGATTAACAAGCTAAGTTATAAACAAGCATTAAAATAAGTAACATAATCACATGATATAAGATCACCACAAATTACATGCATGATCCCTACCCATCTGGTCCTCCAATACTCCCGACCGAACCAGTAAGCTATTTCATAGAACCAAACCACATGTATAGCTCCCAAGCTCACCATCCATGATAGGACTACCCGACCAAGGTGTCCTAAACCACTTCTAAACTACTAGTTCCCCCTATGATAAGTAATTGGGGTATCGTTACTCCAACACCGCATCTTACGGATGCTAAGGAGCATAGTCTCCAACTCTGCACCCCTTTTGGGTACTAAGGAGAGTAAGTCTCCAACACCACACCCATTTTCGGGCACTAAGGAGAGTAAATGCTGCACTTGGCATCTCGAGGTGCTAGCAATATCATATGGACTTAATCTTCACTATCTCCACTAGGGTGACCTTCTACCTTTTAATATGCCACATTTCACTACATATCTCCATTTGACCATGCATAAATAACTTTCCAAATAAATATAACAAAATCTTACCATTTATTTTAAAAATATAAAATTTCACAAAGCAATATTCCACTCATTTTCTAAAATAGTTAACCTTTAAAGAATTTATACATATATACTCAACAATTCATAGAAAAGCAACTTGAGAATAACTTATACAAGATAATAAATAATGCAAATTATCTAGTTACCTCAATTCTTTTGTTACTAAAAGGGTTACCTGTGGTACTAATTCTCTTCTTGTGTTAAGGTAAGTCTTCCCACTCCACAATCTACATCAACAAGTACTATATGTTAATTTTCAATTAATACAAGCACTATTAGCTAATAATAACCTCCCAATTCTCCCACTTCTCACTCATTCTCAACAAAGAGGCTTGTTAAGATTAGAATTTGTTCACACAATCCTTTTAAGAAATATATTCTCAGCATATGTTTTTTTAAGAAATATGAGTGAAATGGTTGACTTTTTGCAACTTTTCCTCCCCCTCTATGTTTTATGAAAATTGGGGTTGAGTGGTGATTTTGTAAAATAAGCGTGTTTGGTTGCATGTGTTGTGTTGCACGAGTTCATAAGGGTCCACTAAGTGTGGTCAAATGGTTTGTGTAAGCTATTGACACTTGTGGTTGAGTTGGGACACCCCATTTGGGAGATTTTGTGAAAATGTGATAGATATGAGTTTAGTGTCCAACTTCTTATAGAAAATGAATTTGAATATAAAACTTGTCATCAGCTAAAGCTAGGAGAAAGCTCCATGTAGACACTGAAACCACCTCAATTGGATCTCGGATGGAGAATTGGGACGCGTTGGAATTTTGCCTCCTAGGCTGTCAAATGACAACATTGATATGTCAAATTTCATGCAATGTGCTGTGGTGCATGGTGCCCCACACCGTAGCACATGGCACAAAGAAGACATGCTACGGCCTATGAGCCGTAAGCTGTGGTGCACGTGTGATTTCTGCATAAGAATTTGTTTTTGAGTTTTAAAACTCATTACTTAGTTCCCAATTGATTTCCAAGCTTTCGCTTTGTTTTCAAAACTTTGATTTGGAGTCCTTAAATTATGTTTGAGATTTGAACTCTAGAGATTGGGATTTCCTTAAAAAGATTTTGAGAAATTTCCTTTACAAAACCTTACAGTTTGGTAATTCTTAAGGGTTAAGCCCTATATTACCATGAGTTGGAGTTAATTATAGTTTAACCTCAAGGAGCTTACAAAGGCTTTTCTAAATCATTGCACAAGCTATCATATTTGTGTACTTTCTTAACACCAATATCACTTAACATATCATCTATTCGATCAGATAAATCCATATCATCATCATCCTTATCTTGTGGCACTACACTTCATTTTCTAGATTCTCCATGCAATACCCATTGTGTATATATTTTGTAGAAACCAAAACAAGTTAGGTGATCCTTTATCTCTATAGGACTTCATTGCAATCCATTCAAACATTTAACACAAGGACAATAGAATAATCCTTTATTATTAGGAACATTGTTCTTTGAAAATTCTAAAAATTGATCTACCTTCTCTCTCAAATTCATTACTTGTCCGCAAAGCATGTATCCAACTACAACTCATGATTACCTAATTAAAATATGAAAAAATATTTTATATTTTGAAATTAAAAAAAATCGACAGAATAATAGCTTATAAATTGATATTGCCTGGGCAAAAAACCCTTATTTGACTAATTTTAACACATGTCAATAGATAATCAACAATTATAGACTCTAATCCACAACCAATTCAAGCTTTTTCACACATTCACTACTACAAAAATAGTTTATGAGAGCACTCATTTTAGAGCGCTTAAATAAAAAGCGCTCTAAAAAATAAGTGTAGAGTTTTTCGGAGCGCTTATTCTATAAAGCGCTCTGAAAATTGAAACCTATAGGAGCGCTTTTTTTCAAAGCGCTCCAATATCAAAAAAAATTAAAAATATAATAAATCTACCAGAGCGCTTTTACTTAAAGCGCTTCTGTAAAATAAATTGTGAAAACAAAACAAAAAAAAATAAAATATGCTATTTTGGAGCACTTAAACTAAAGCGCTCTTACATGAGGATTTATAGGAGCGCTTTCATATAAGCGCTCTTATAAGGTAGAGGGCCTTTCGGAGTGCTTATGTAAAAGCGCTCCAATAAATTAGAAAAACAAAAAAATAAATTAAAAATGCTTATAAAAAAAGCGTTTTAGAAAGATAGAGATACAGGAGCGCTTTATTAAAAGCGTTACTATATGTCTCACTTAAAATAAAAAAAAGATTCTTTTATACCATCTGATTGTGAACCCCCATTGCCGTATCAGTTTCTATTTCAAACCCTAACCTTTCAATTACTCTTCATTGCCATCAACCAACTGACCAGACTCTTTAGTGCCGGTGCTCCTTTGTTCAGTTCCCACCGTCGCCGTCGAAGTTCATCCGTCCAGCTCGCTGTCAAGTGTCTATCGAGTCAACTTCTAAAGTTTGTTGTTGCAGGCATCAATTCCTTCAGGTCCCTCTGTCCGTGTCCTATCAGTTTTCACGCATCCTGTCTTTGATCTGTGCTGCTGGAAGTCCAATCTGCACTGTGGAAGTCTAATTTGCATAGATTTTAACCCAGTTCATGTCTCATGCTTCAGTCTGCACCACCGCTGCCTGTTGCATTGAGTTTGCCACCTCGCTTTTAGCTGAATCTCAGCTGTCGCTTGCTTCAGGTCTTAAGCTTCCCGTCGTGTGCTCCATCCTGATCGAGTTCACCACCTAATCACTTTCAACTCTTGCCTTCCTGCCTCTATCCGTCCCTCACGGTACATTTAATACTTCGAACATGATTAGCTCAAAAAAAATCTCCAGTGTCATTCCTTGGCTATCGAGTAGAGGAATAGCCTAGGTATATATTCGTTAATTGTTTTATTTCCAGAGCTATTTGGAGTGGCCTCTATCAAATCTTCGGATAATGCCTCTTTGGGATAATTTCATGGCTTACTAAGACCATCATTTGGAATTCTCCTTGTGCTTTAGATGTTTTTGTTCAATATATTATTGCCACTCTCCTTCATTTAGGAATCCAGACGTAAGGCTTTGGGTGAAATTTTTCTTTATTATTTCTATTTATCAAGAATAAAATAGTAGTTGGTAAAAAAACAGAGAATAAAATAGTGTAAAAGTAAATAATAATTTATTGAAATTTTAGCGAGCAATATATCTGGATCCAAATGTTGTGAAAACTAAATTTCATTACACAACAAAAAAGTGAAGCTAGTTTCCTAACACATTGTTCAAAGAGGAGTTAGTACCTTTATGCTATCATCTAGTTACAATCACTTGAAATTCCTGTATAAATTTTTTGGTAACTGGATCCTCATTACTAGTTGAATGTGTGAGCATGCATATATTAAGTTTAGTGCTTACTGATAAAATATGGTTATATTGTGGTTTCTAATTTATTTTGGCTAAGTTAGTGGGCAACTTAAGGGAGCTACCAATCAGTTTTTTGAATGCCTTGATGGAATACGGAGCTACCAATCAACTTTAGGGAGCAGTGGAATGTGGAGCTGGACATATTCTGTGTTTAGCGCTATCACTACTGCATCTACCGTGGCTTCTGGATCTTTGCATACTACATCTGGTACTTCATTTTGTTAATGTCTATAAGAATTAGTGAGCAACTTAAACCATGCGTTTTACTCTTCAATGTCTTTCACATCATGCTCTGTTATTATTATCTACTTACAGTCCTATTTCGAAGACCCATTTTAATAACACATGTGAAGAACATAATTTGATGTTCTTGATTACAAATTCAAGGAAAAATAGGACCTAGTGGATTCAGATGAAGTGGATAACACAGAGGTATTATGTCATACATACAAGGATAGGGTTTAAATAACGGCATTAATTGTGTCTTGAGCACTCCTGAGTCCTAACATGCCTTGTGATCCTACATCTTTTATGATTACTGCTTATCTTCTGAGCCACTTTGATGCTTATTACTTTTCTGAAACCAAACAGTCTTTGCCAACTCGAACTGTTTTATCTTTTACATTTGAAGGTGTGGTTTGAAAACAAGATATGGCACTTGAAAAATGAAGTATAGGGGAGTTAATTTAATTAGGAAAAAATATTTGGGCTAACTGAGATGTGGTAGAGATTTGTTAGGATACCAATGAGGTTGAAAAAGGGTGAAGCTTACATGTTTTCGAGTTAGGTACAAATTCATCAGAATATTGAAGGTGATCTGCAATTTTAGTTGATTAGTTTTGTTGATCTGCATGTCATATTTTTATTGAAGTTTTAAGCCTTTAACATTATTCCATTCTCTTGAGGATGGTGAAGTGGTATAGTAGCAGTAGAAGCATAAACGAAGGGTTGAGAAGGAGAAGTAAAGGGAAAAGAGAGAATCAGAGAAGAAAGGATTGAGAAGTTGATCAGTTCACTACATTACCAATGTCACGGCATGCATTTACCCTATTAGACTAGTTATCAGTTCTTGGTCGAACCTCAAATGAGGCGGTCCAGCTCAAAACACATTGCATGATAGTGTCAATGACACATCTATCTATTTATATGTTTATAAAATCTTCTGAGTGTTATGATTTAGTTGCAATACTTTTATCAACAAATAAATCTCCGACCCTTTGATTGGTTTAAGCCTTTAAGGGAAATGAAAGAGACGGGGTGGAATATCTACATAGACTGAACTATTTTAAGCATACAAAATTGAATTGGATTTGACCAACGGTTTATGCTTCCCTCTCGTCTCTGAACACAATAGTCTTGGAACTCAAGTAGGATACACTTTTGTCGCTGCCCAAATTAGCCTTGATTTGAATTTGTTGGTTGGAATTGTTGGTGATGAATTTTTGAAGATATGAGGTTTGGAGGCAGACGAGAATAGCCTTGGTGTTTTTAGTGATGATTCATTTGATTTTTGTTTGAAAGCATAGCTGTTCAATCCTTTAGAAGTCTAATGGTTCAAAATCTCATTAGTTTGTCTACTTATAATTGTTGTTATATATTAAAAAAGTTGGAGTATTGTTGCTTTTTTATTGCTACATCTTTTGAAGTTTTAAGTAGGTGTATAACTCAATTTAAAGAGAAAAGCCAATTATTTGTGATCATCAGAGCATAGAGGAAGATTTCCCTCCCAGTTATTAGTTTTTTATGAGAAAAATTATGGCAACTCCTCATTGTTCCAAAGTTACAAATTTGTTTAAAATTATCATTTTTATTCATTACTTGTTTCCAAATTACCTTTGTTGTTTCCTATTTTTATTGGACTTTTGTGATGTAAACTTCTGTTTTGTTTATTTTTGCAAGTTGGCTAGCATTATTGATGGTGGCAATCTTTTTTTTTTTGTAAATAATCTTTTTTTTTAAATGTAATGTTCGAAAGATTGTGGTTCTTGAATCCACAAAAATATTGTATTTTTTAATTTTAAATGGAAATATTTTTATTATTTTCCTACTTTAGATTATTGTACATTAATTTATGAAGCTTGAAGCTTGTAATATTGTAAAACGAAAATAATGTTTAAAAAACATTAATGAAGCTATCGGAGCGCTTTTATTTATAGCGCTCCTATAGAATACTTATTGGAGCACTGCTTTTGACCGTAAGCGCTCCCATAAGTATCATATAGGAGTGCTTATATATGAAGTGCTCCTGTAAGAGGAGTATTAGAGAAAACATACAGGAGCGTTTTGCTCAAAGCGCTCCTGTAGGGCACCCCTTATGGGAGCGTTTTAGAAGCGCTCCTAAAACGCTCCCTTACATATAGGAGCGATGGCTGTGGGAGCACTTAAAAAGCGCTCCCGTAGACTAAAAATAAGCGCTCTGAAAAGCATTTTTTGTAGCAGTGATTCAAACTATCAAATAATTATCAAATTAAAATATGAAAAATTATTTTAAATGGATGACCAATAATTACATATAGAATTCACAATCAATTCAAGCTATCAAACAATTACCTAATTAAAATATGAATTATGCTTAGAAATTTTATATCAAATGTATATTAAAATTAAAAAAATTAATCTAATAAAACATATATGAAAAGAGAGCTGAACATGCATAATGGGTGTTAAAAATTATGCATATAAATTTCACATCAAATTTGTATTAAAAATAAATAATTAATTTGATAAAAAATATAAAGAAAAAGGTGGAACATAATAATGGGTGTAAAAAATTATTATTAAAAATTTTAATATATTAAAAATAAATAATTAACGCCATAAAAAATATAAGTAAAAAGAGCCCAGTTACATGTATATGGAGAAAAACTTGAAAAAAAAAATAAAAGAAATACATGGCTAAACATGCGAGAACTTACCTGGATTAATGCACCAAGCTGGAGGTCGAAGAGAGAGTAATGACAGTCACGGGCAAGCTAAAGGCGAACAGGAGAAGCTGAAGGGTAGCGAGGAGGAGTTGAGGGTGGACAGAAAGTAGCTGAAAGAAGAGGAGGAGTTGAAGGCAAAGGGTGAAGAAGCAGTTGGAGGGAGTGTAAGCTACGACAGAGCTAATGGCAAAAGGAGAGGAAGGCGAGCTGAAGGCATAAGCTGAAGGAAAGGTGCGAGAGTGAGCTAAACGTTTTATGAAAATAATGACAATGGGTGAAGGTTAAAACATTACATATAAGGACAGTTTTAATTAAAACTGTCGTTATATGTTATCACGGGTTCCAAGCAATGACTGTGCATGCTGCTGTTTTGGAACTCGTGCTTTGACTTCACCTACAGAACAGTTCCTATAGAATCCTTTTGAAAAACCTTACTGACTCTAAAGTCCAATAAAATAATGAAATAACAGTACTCTTTTTGTCCCTATCTAAATCCCTCAATGTAAGTATAATTTACTGACTGTGATATGAATGCGCTTGATACGTACTTGGTAGATTTATAAATAAAATTTTTATTTATATTAGTATAAATAATATTAATAGTTATATATTATTAGTATTATAAATATTATCATCAGATATATTATAATAATTAATGAAATTATATTAATGTATATAATAATATAAAATAAATTATATATTATAATATTTATCTAAAGTTATTATTATTAATATTATTTATACTAAAATTAAAGAAAACATTATTTATAGAGTATTAAATATAATTATTATTAATTATATTAACAACAGTTTTCAATAAAACTGTCGTTAATATCTTCTATAAATTACATACATTAATATAATTTTAATTAATCATTATAATATATCTAATGATAATATTTATAATACTAATAATATATATAACTATTAATATTATTTGTATTAATATAAATAAAAATATTATTTATAAATATTTATATTAATATTAAATTTATATAGATATAAATATTAGTTAGTTAAGGAAAACAGAACACATTAATGGTAGGTCTTAATATACCTGTTGTTAATATATATAATATTAATATTAAATTTAAATAAGTATACTAAAATTTAAAAAAATTATTTATATTAAATAGAATTATTATTATTAATTATATTAACGACAGCTTTCAATAAACCTATCGTTAATATCTTCTATAAATTATATACATTAATATAAATATTAATTAACTAGTATAATATATCTAATGATATTATTTATAATACTAAAAATATATAACTATTATTATTATTTATATTAATATTAAATTTATATAGATATAAATATTAGTTAGTTAAGGAACTAGAACATATTAATAACAGGTCTTAACATACCTGTCATTAATATATATAATATTAATATTAAATTTTCATTAATATATATAATATTAATATTAAATTTAAATAAGTATAACATATTAAATAAAAAATAAAATATATTGATGACATGCAGTAGGGGAACTATCGTTAAATAGATAATATCGTCGTTAATATGTCCTTATTTATCATTTAATAATTCAAATTAATAATTTAGTTATACGATATAATTAAAATCAAAATATTAATCAATAATTTATATACATTAATAATATTATGTATAATTATGACAATTATTAAATGAACTGTCATTAATTAACGACATAACAATAAAATTGCAAAAAAGGATAGCTAAATGTATTACAATATATTAATTAATTTTTTTCTTGAGCTAAAAGAAACCAAAGACAAATTTAAGAGCACATATAATGATAGGTTTTCATTAAATTTGTTGTAATATGTGTTCAATATATTAATTAATTTTTTTCTCAAGCTGAAAGCTAAAAAGGGCAAATTTAATAACACAATAACTTTTCATTAAACCTATTGGTAATCTATTATTTATTAATTATATAATAAATAATAGATTACCAATAGGTTTTCCGAGATTTATCTCAAAATTTTGGTGGCGACTCACATTTCTCCGGACTTCCTCCCAAAGGCCGGGAACCTCGCACTGTCTGCGTCGCATTTTTGGGTGTGACATACGCCATACTAAATCTCAACTCATTACCCATGGCACGCTGTAAAGCTCCCTAAAATTTGAAAGTAAATCTTGGATCTCTACCAGAAATTATATTTTTCACCACATCATGTAACCTTACCACTTCTCAAACATAAATCTCTGCCAACTTTTCTAAAGAATTACTAATTTGAATCACTAAGAAATGAGCCAATTTAGTAAGTCTATCGATTATGACCTAAATGA